GTCAATAAGCAAAAGTGAAGCCACTTCCAACGTTTGTTCTGTAACCATTGCTTTCTGCAACTGCTGCCTACACAAAATTAGTTGGTGGGATTAAAGAATATATTCCTCTTTTATCCCATGTTTGAGTACTTGATCACAGAGGCATAGTTTAATCCAAACATCAATAGCATCTCATCAATTCAGTCAGATGCAGCTGTCAAAGTGGACTTTTGGTTTGTTTAGAGCTTTGAGATTTATCCTTTTTTAAGGTCATAGAATATTTTCTTTGATTTTTGATGCTGAAATCTTTCTTAATCTTCTAAACTTGAGAAACATCTGTTAAGATTTAATGGGGTGACTTTTGTCTTAGAATTGGAGTTTGTGTTGCAAATCTTTGGTTTTGAAAACAGGAGAAAAGTACAAGCATATATTCCTTAGCAGTTATAAGCCCTGCTTGGTCAGCAAGCGATTAAACTAGTTAAAATGGAGCAGCAGGCAGTGCAGTTACATTTAAGCAGTATTTCAGTGGAGTGTGATTTAAAATTTGTTTTGTTTCACATTGGCATTAGCCATTTCCCTTTACCATGGCACTTAGCTGAGGATCTGAGTAGCAGATTTGTGAGAGCTTTTAAATAATGAGACAGTGATGTAACCAAGTGATACAGAGGCAGAAAGAAATATAGCCTGCATTCTTAAGCTTTGGAGATTTGGAGCACTTGGGAAGAATGTAGTAGTTAATATGTTTGGAGATAAATGGCATCTAAAAATACATGCCCCTAAAAACATACAGACAGCTGTCACATCTAGTGCCTGAATATATTAGTCATTATCCTCATTAACAGATGCAAAATCATCCCTGTTTTCATAATGCAAGCATTTCATATCAGGTAATTTGTAGTAATTTTTTATGGGGCTGAATCCTTCAGCTCCCATGTGAGTTGGTGTTTTGAAGAAAGAGTCAACTGAGAATTGGAAGATCAGGTCCAGACATCTTTCCTGTGCCTTCCTGCACACTTTCTTACCTACTCCATAATAAGATCATCTTGCCAGGAATCTAACACATGTATTTTTTTTTACTCAAAGCATAATATTGCCCCTTCAGCTTTTTCTGCAGTTGGTAACCACACATGTTTAATAAGTTTGATGTGAAGTTTTGTCTGCTGTCTTCTTCATTTCTATTTCAACAGCAGTATTACCTGGATGAAAAACACAGGATGTGGCTTTCTGAATATAAATGCTCTTTTCTCTTTTTCGGCTCATAGAGAAGAATGTGTTGTTCTATAATTGCAGAGACAGCACTGGCACAACTTGTAAACCTCTGCAAAGTACTGCAGAGCTGCCATTCATAAGTACCAAGAGCTAAGTACAGCATGAAAAGCAGGAGGGCTTGCCAAGTTTCTTGCCACTTCCTCCTACTTCTGACAAGGTTTTCAATTAGCAGCTTGTAGGGGCCCAGCCTGTGGTCCTATTTTCATGCAGTATGCATAACTTAATTCCCCAGAAGAGGCCGGAACTGCAGAGGAAAGGAAAATACACATAGATTTGTAATGTTATATATTGGAAGAAAACCGTTTACTAACAGTGTGATTCTGGGAAGAAGAAAGAAAGAGGGGCACGAGGAAAAGGAAGAAATTACTAGAGTGGGTCTTCAAAGTGATGAAATCTCCCTCAATCTGTTATGTTAAAAAGCATAGGTGCCCAATTTCCTCCCTGCAGCCTTGTGTAGTCCCTACACAACTCCTACACAACTCCCTACTCCTTCTGTAGTCCTCATGTAAGGTTAACCTTAAACAGCAGCACATTGAAGAAGATAGATGCACACCCCAAATGAAGCTCCGTGTCTGCCTAAGTGCCCCACAGAGCAGATATGTTAAATTAACACTGCTTTGTTACATTTGGTAATGTTTCTGAGTGTCTCCATTTAATGCTATCACTGCAAATGGAGGAATCCTCACCTATTGGGCCAAATATGAGTCTTTGTACAGTTCTGTCTCCATGTAGTAACCTGGGTCTCATGACAGGGGAGGCCAGGTGAAAGCAATTGTGAGTACAAATACACTCCTTGAAAACTGGTGCAAAAAACTGAGGCTGCTGCACTCCTGTTTGGATCCCTTGCAACTCAGCTTATTGATTCAGTGATTCAGATTTTGCTTTTAGCAATCCATGATGTGTCTGTGCATGGAGTAAGCTGTGGCAACGCACCAGCAAACCTGGTGAAAGCACAGGTTATGTTAGGGAGGACCCCTAGGGACAGCAGGAGTCTTATGGCCAGGCAGGGAGGAAAAAAGCCCTCCTGAGTCCCTGTGGTCACAAGAATATCTTAAAACATAATATCTTATCTCCATCTGTGAGCTCTGATAAAAACAGAATGAGGGAGTGTGGCCATGGCAGACTGGCAGACTCCTTTGGGAGCTGCTGCTCAGCGTGACTGGAGCGAATTGTTTCTTCAAAGCCCAAGGTGGAAACACAAGTGTGGATACGCCAGGATGATCCTGGTCCTTTGCTAGCCAGTGTACATGGAAGTACAAAGGCTTATGGAAGACACATTTACCTTTCCCTTCTTGTCTCTTTTCCTCTGCTAAGAGCTTCAGTGGGAACAGAGAAGCTGATTTATGGCAAGTGTATACACAGCTGCAGTGGAAGCCTTGAAGCAAAACTGGAATAACACAGCTACAGTGCTGAAAGTGCCAAGAAAGGTATGAATGATGTGGACAAGGAACTTACATCCGTGACCTGTAGGTGTGGCTGCTGTTGTGAAAATTGGCTTAATCCCCACTGGTGCTGCAACCATAGGTAAACCTTCAGCTATTGCCCTGGTATGAGACCCACTAGACAACTTCATTTGAGCTGAACCATCTGCACCCAGATTCACCCAAAGATGGCAGGGAGTTTGGACTAGGTGACCTCTAAAGGTTCCCCTCCAGCTCAAGATATTGCATTCTGTATATTCAATTAGAGGGGAAAAAAAATCAGCCCTGAAGGCTATGAGTAGGATTCCTATTTAGTGATTTTAGGATGCCAGCCATATCTGGTTTCCATGTATCCTGTATAAAGGAGAGGGAGAATTGAACCTCCACAGGGCAATTCAGAGCATCTCTCCTTGTCTCCTGCCTGAAGCTGGGCTCTGGAGGAGAATGTTTCACACGGAGAGCTCAGTGAGGTGCTCAGCAGGTGTCCTTGGGTATGGAAATGGGGCTTGGGCTCTCTGTATCCTAGGGACACAGGGCCACCCTGCTTACAGAGGGCAGGTTTTGGAGAGGTGCTGCTACAGGGAACAGTACGGCTCGGCGAGACCTCTGTGAGTGCTTCCCCTGTAGTCCTCTAGTAAAAGGAAGAGATGTGAATTTCATACATAAAAGGAAAAGTATCACATTTTCCCCAAATTCTTCAGGAAATTAGTCTCATATACAACCCCAGAATTTGGCTGCCTTACAGAGACAGAGTGTCATTTGCATGCCATTACCAGGCTGTAAAAGTCTCATGGTGACTGCCTACTATACATTTGCAATCTTTAGGGATCCTATGAAGGTCACCCCTGAGGTCAGGTTTGTTTAGTCTGTTCCATAATGGTGTAAAGTGGACTTGAATGTGTACTCTGCTCAAATAATACACAATCTGATTGATACTTAAACATCAGTAAGTGTTGTATATATGTTGCAGTTTCTAATGTTCCAGGCAGAGGCAAACCATGTATTTGCTAACAAATTGTTTTTACAAACAACCTGATGTGGCTTTGAAAAGTGAGTCAAAATAGGGAATGAAATATACCCTCAAAATTATAATAAGAAAAATCTTCATTTTTTTCTTTACTTGAGAAAAGTTGTGGGGTTTTTAAAATTTTTTTAAAACATTTTCTCTGAGCCTTCCCTGTACTAGGAATTCTTCCTCCTGTTTACTTTTAATTCACTCACCATCCATTCACTGATTGCCTTGCAATTCAAAAGCTAGGTTCCTTATGTTGCATTGTTCAAAGATGGCTTAATTAAAAAAAGATCACATCTTCTCTTTTGTGTCTAATAAGCATTGTGCTGATTGGCTTCATAGTGGCCTGGATGATATTTCAACCCTTTACATATCTTTCAAAAGGAATAATAAAAAGAAAGAGAGGGGAGAAAACCAATGTGAAATCTTTTTCATCCTTAATATGTCACAATTTAGTAGGCAAGAATTATTACTCAATGTAGGCTTAGGAGAATAAAGAAGGAGTAAAGAAAAGCTGATATATGAGTGACTTTGCACTATCTCTTAATTTTTAAAATACTGTAAATGTACTATCTGTTGTGAAGACTAGGCTCACCCAGTTTTTGTACTGCTTCTCTTTCAACAAGACTTTCATGATGAAAATATAAATAAAAAGTGACATAAAATTATACAGCTCAGCACAAGACTGGTTGAGGCAAAACATTCTTATTGCCATTTTCATGGCTACACCATAAAGTTATAACCAATTAGTTATTAAGTTTCTGATTTTAATCCTTTGTCAAGCACATGGGCTCAGAGAAGTAATCCCTCTTATACTTTGTTAATTTATGGTGCACTAATATGTCTGTGATGCTATATTTTACTTGATTCTTTCTTGCATTAAGAAGTTTAATAGTTATGCTCTATTTAGTGAAGAAGTTGTAATAAAGAACAAATACAAGAGCATGACCCTTTACAAGTAATTTGTAGTCTGGGTTAAACCTACTCAGCATCTACCAACCCTTCTGGTTTTTATTTTTTTTAAACCAGCAATAACATAAAATTATCTGTACTGCAGTCCAGCAAAGCTGCCTGCTGTGCTTTTGGAAGGGCTGTTTGCAGGTGTACCAAAAGTGAGGCTTCCTCTGCTGTGAGCAGGATGACCAGCACTGCCCGTGGGAGCCAGCAGAGCATCTCCCTTTCTTAATCAAATAGCAGCCCAATGCTTTGCTCTTCATCGGCCACACCTGGCCAGTCCCAGCTGGCCAGAGTCCACCCTGCAGGACATAAAAACCCTCAGGAGGAGCAGCCTGGTTTCTAGAAGAAAGTTTCAGGTCTTGCCTTTGCTGTGGAGGTTTGTGCTTCTGACCCAGGCTCACAAGGCAGCAGTGTTCTGTAGATGTAGCTCAGCTGCCTCTGAGCTCTGGGCTGTCCTGCAGTGCAGACACATTCCCTGGAGAGGCTCTGATGGATCAGAGGTGAGCAGAGTTGTGGTCAATGGCCTGCTTTGAGGAAATCTAAGATAACACAGCAATTTTGTCCCCTTGTTGATCTCTTCGCCACCTAAAATCTTTGTCATCTAGAGGCAGAGCCCCTTTTTTTACCAGCCCTAGCTAGGTTTAGGTTTATTCTGATTTTTGCCCTTCTGTCTGTTTCTGGACCCAGCCCTTTGCAGCCTTTATTCTTCTTAGGATCTGGTTCAGGAAGGTTTGGTTTGACTCTGAGCTGGCAAATTCTGACTTTTCAGTAACTTTCAAAGCATTCCTGCAGAGAGCGATGACATGGGGAGTCCCCTTGCCAAAATGTAATCATGCAGAAAATGCAAAATTGAGATCACCATATAGATTATTTTATAATGTGGTCACATGAGAGCACACGGTGTAGAAGCCAGAAACTGAACAGTCAGTGCAACAAACTCTAGATTGTTGTAATTTGATTCACGTAAGGGAATTGTGTTAGCTTTTTGGCTGTGGTCTTCATGTTCTGTTTGGAAATGTATGATGTCATTGTACCAAGCAAATCACAGCAAAAGGCTGCTTGTATTTATGTTGGCTGAAGGTTTAACCAAGTGTACATGGCAAGCTTAATTTATTGCTACTTTAACTTTGTTTAGTCACTGAAGGGCTTTATTTATGCTGGTAAATTCAAATAGTGGCTAACAGTGACCACACAGCTAAAGAAATGGCAAGAGTCATTATCACTAAATCACTTTGTTGCTGAGTTCCCTTAATTAAGCAGTGGGGGAAAAAAAAATTGAATCCCTGGACATTCAATAGTGAATATGGTGGTAAAAGAGAGTGATTAATTGAGATATCAGTTGCTTTCCTTAGGAAACTAAATTTCTGTAACCTACGATGGCAAAGCAAGAATGAAAATAAAGCTCAAGCATCATCTAAACTGCTGAATTAATTGAGGGCATATTTAAAAGTTTTATAGGCTCTCTATAAAGTAAAATAAATAGCAAGAAAGCTATATTCTTTATGCAAACATTTTTCATTACAGTACGTGTCGGTCCCTTGGTGAGAGCTCATTAACTTTTTAAAAATTACCTTTAATGGGCTACTCATTATCATCACCATCAAATGCTTCACTTGTCCGACATTCTAGCGTTTAGAGCAGATTAAAGCCAAAATTACCCTCTAGATACAGGGCATATTCAACTACACAGGAAAAAAAATAAAATCATTCTGTAAAGTCATGGCTTATAAGCAGTGAAAATTAGGAATGTTGAAAGCAGCCTTTTTTTAAAGCTCAGAAATGTCTCAGTGTGGTAGCTGTGGTTTTCAGCAATATATAAAAAAATGAAAAGGTTCCTCATTTTCAAGTCCCTTATTGAAAAGCTATTTGGTAAAACAAAATTGAGAAACAGGCACCTTGAAGCCTGGTCTCCAGGGCTTGGGCATATCCTTGTTTTGCTGTTGTTTTGCTAAGAGACTTGAACAAGTCACTTCTTCCTTTGCCTGAATTAAAACTTGTGGGTATTGAGATCTCCTTTGCCAAGGACTGCAAACCTCTGCATGAAAGCTACTTTAGGAGATCACTGGTTCATTGTTACTCATCCTGCAAGAGCTCTGCTTGATCTCAAAACCACTCTAAGCAGGAGCAGAAACAGCACAAGATCTGAATTTTTAGCTTGTTTAAATTGGCTCAAGCATCTCGATTTCAGTGGAAATTCACTCATTTGCACCAGTAGGGAAATTGGCGTCCACTCTGTTTTTTTTTTTTTGAGGGTGTTTGAGGAGAGTGTGAATTCAAGAGTGCTGATTAAGAATTACAGACATCCTGGCATGTTTTGATTTATTGGGCACTGCAGCACTCAAATGTTCTTGTGATGAATAGCAAGGTTCATCAAGGTTGCTTTAGCAAGGCAACCTCAAGAGCATTTTTGGGATGGCAACTTCACTTACTCCTCTGAAGAGGAAAACAGTATATAAACAGAGCTCAGCCTTAAGCTGGATGAACTCTTCTAACACTGAGGGAGCTGGCTCAGTGCTGTCAGCCATGGGTTTGGACCTCCTTTTGCCTTGCCTTTCCTTGGGTTATCTGAACATGGCATCAATTTACCTGAGTCACCAATATTCAGAGGTGCTCTCGGGCTGTGGTACCAAGAAGGCTGAGGAAATGGCACCACCCTTATGCAGATGAGGTGAGGTTCTTTGGCTTAAGTGTGCTGTGGTGCCTTGTTGTAGTCCTTCTGTTTTTGTGGAGATGTCCCAAGAATCCTTCCTCTGTCAGTAAAAAGATCCTGTTACTGTTCAAATCATCCACTGCTGCAACTTTTCATCTATTTCCTCCAAGAATCTTAGTTTATTTTTCAAAGCTATTGAACTGCAAATTATGGTGCTGCAATATTACAGCCAGGCTTTTTAGTTTAACTTTCTTCTTTGACTGGGTTTTGGTTAAAGTCCTGTATCAACAGTCCTTTGTTTGAAATAAAGGCATTCTGAAATTGTCTGGTCTACTCACAATGCTCTTTTCAGCCCCACAGCTGATAAGGTTCTCCAGATATCTCTCTTCTGGCACTTTACATCTGATGGAGGAAGTATCTGAAGATTGGTGAAAAGCTGTAGACACCCTGGTGCAACATAAAAGAAGCTTCAGGACATCTCAATCGATGGAGCTGGAGTGTTCTCCAGATATTCTGGACATATTGCTGGTAAGGTTCATAAACTGAAATTATCCAAAACTTGCCCCAAAGAACATAAACATATATGCATGACCCAATTATTTCTCATTGATTTAGGCCTGTTAGTTGTAGTGTTGCACATACCTTGTTAGGTCCTCATGGCAGATTCAGATGTTCTTCAGAGCTTTGTAGCATTCTCCAGCAAGTGCTTCTTTTAAACCTACTACTTATAGTAGTATATTACAGGCCAGCTGGATAATTTTTGAAAAGCAGACAAACATGCAATTTTTATCATGCTAGTACATTCTCTTGCTGCTGTATCTTTGCTGCACTTGGAAATGAAGACAGTGTAATTACCTAACAATTATCTTGTCAGCTTGTAGCAGAATGTGAAATTTGGATCGAGGTAGGGAATGAGAGTGCATCTAAACACCGGGCTCTTGTGATATGGTGTTCATTTACTTTCCACACTGATTTTGGGACTAGGTAATGAGGTAGATGTGTGTGGTTAAGCTAAGTGGCCCAGGATGGTTGCCCAGAGCACAGGAGACTCATTGGCCTCCATGCACCTATGCATTGCTGCAGTGTGGGGACAGACTTCCTGCACTGCATGGAATGGCGTGGCCCCTACCAGCATTTTTAGGAAGTTTGACAGCCATAGTGGGGGAGGTGGGGGGGTGCCATCATGTTTTTGACTGGTGGAAGAAGGGCTATTCTCTTCTTCACGGGGCCACTGAGGCAGCATGGCTCTAAGTGTATGCCCAGACTGTCCATCTGTCTTCTCTGTCAATCCTTGTTATGTTGCAAGGTGAAGAAATACAAGAGTACATGAAGAACAGTTCCCATTTTTCAGCCTGTCATTTTTGGTTCTTGCCTGTAGATATCTTCTGGAGGCTTCCTTAAACACAGGGATGTCAGCTGAGAGGAATTATCATTATTTGCCATTGTAGACAGCCATGTTAAATTCATTTGTACATATTTGGACAGGATATGGTGCTTACAGGGTTTAAATCTCAACAATGTGTCATTCCTTTCTGACTCAGAAGATGCTTTTTGGCAAACCTTTGACTGGTAGATATTCTTCTGCTTGTCAGGAAGTACTCCTCCCTTTTCTGATGGAGAGGGCTCTAGGAGTGTGACAGTCCTAAGCTCACACAGAAGTACTTTTACAACCACCATGGCCACGAATTCCAGCTGTTCTGTGCTGGTAAGACATAGCCACAAAGCAGGCTTAGTTCTCACTCTGATCAGTTTACAGCTTTTCCCCTCCTGACTTTGCATAGCTCGAGAGACATCTTAGCAAGTATACCAGGCAACACAGAGAGGAACATGAGAAGTGACTTTCAGCTGACAGACTCTGATGGGCCCTGATCTGGTATCAATACTCTTGAAGACTTTTCAAAACAAATGCTGTTTCTGTCAATGCAGCTCTTTAACACTTCGGCATTTCAAGGCCTAAGCCTCCTGCCTTTAGTCAGTAGTGTGGGATTTTAGAGATTAGAAATCATATTATGAGTTGCTAAGTGGTTTGTGTTTCAAAGTCAGCTGCAAGTTAAGATGTATCTTGGCAGAAGCATGCAGTAAATGGGCCAATCTTTCAAATACAATCCAGGCTGCCTGTTGCAAAGGACTTATCATTCTGGTGTAGGCAGTCAGGTTGCATTGCTGAATGCTTTGTGCAGCAAGAGTGGTATAAGAGTACTCTTGGAGTTACTGAGATGTGCTTGACAATCTCAGTATTTCCTTTTTTTTTGTTTCATAATATTGCACCAAAACAGTTTTGGTTTTGCACAGTTTCTTAAGAATAGAACATTATTCTTTACCATTATACATGTTTTTGAGGCCTTTACCTTTTATATTGCTGTGAATACTGTGAACATTTGCAAGGCTTTCTGTATAATTGCTACAAAAAGAGAGTTAAGGATATTAAGTGCATATTTCACTGGTTAAAAAAAATCACTTAGTTGTGTCCTTAGAACAGGAATGGTGTGTTGCCCTTTATCCAGTCCATGCTAGGACTGGAAGCCTGGGGTTCACAAGGTGTGGAAGAAACCCAGTGTAAGGCAGAGCAATGGCAAAATGTTATTTTACCACAAAACAACCCTCCTGCACTGCCCATCACCAGAGATGGGGATAGACTGTGTGTAAACTGTGGTGAAAGCTAAGGAAGCTTAAACTAGGAAGTGAGGAGGAAAGGTTAAGGTTGCTAAGGGTTTAATACCTTTCTTTCTTCTTTCTCATTACTTAAGTCAGTGGATTAGAAATGTGAATGAATTTGCAGTAACTTAAGTAAAAATCCCTCTAGTGAAGGTTAGCTAGCAGAAGGAAATGTGTTATTGGGCATTTGGGCTGTAAGTGTTTCAGCTGTTATATCTTGGAGAGGTAGTAGGTATGAACAGTGAGTCAGAAATAGAGCTTGAAGGTACCTGAACAAGATACTTAGAGTTGGGAAGATGAATAGGAAAGGATGTGTGTCAACTTTATCATGGTCTGAATATATGTACTCTTCACAAAATTCAACCCTCATCCCAGTGGGCTAGACTGTATGGATTAATTTTATAACAATCTGAATTCATGCTTTTGAAAACTTCATTCCCTGCTCCTGCAACAAATGTAACTGAGCTACAACATTTTGGATATATACGTATTGCATATGTCACCCCTTGCCCCTGTGAACTGCAGGGTTATTTGGGTTAACATATGCTGAGCACTTGCTACAAATTTATTTTAGTAAATTATTTATTTAATACCTTTTTCTTGCAAAACACAAAGGTAAGAATACAACAGACTTTTTCATTTATTTACTATAGCATACAAAGCAGATGATGACAACAGTAGAAGTAAAGATCACCACCACTGTTGGAGGTACCAGTAGGTTCATGACTAAAATAGCTGCAGGGCTTTTTCCAGATGTAAAATGTGTGGCAAACAGTGTTCTCTTGATGTAACACAGCTATTTCTCAACCTGGGCAATAAAATGGTGTACCAAATGGCTCAACTGTTATGGACATTGCTCCACATCCTGAACATCATTAACTGAGCCTTCTGTTTTCCCTGTGTTTGCAATTCCTTAACTTTCAGTTTCATGGGCTTTCTGCCTCACTTCATCCTTGTCTGGAACGTTTCTCTCCATGTGACTCCTCTGGCACCTCTCCCTCCGCGTGTCTCTTTCTCTTGGGTCTGCTGCTTGCTTGTAAATAACTGTGATGGGGCACTGTGTGCTCCTTTTGGGATGCCATGGACAATTACATCAGCTTTAGAGCCAGCTGCCACCTGCATAGAGCAGTTCACAGCCCTGCTGAAGTCTGCCACGTGTGTCCAGTGTGTCACTGATGAGATCATCAGGCATTCCTGCAAGTGTCAGCTGAGTGCTCATGCAGGAGTAAATCGGGTGCTTGTGAGCTGTGCCATCATGCATGAAATGGTCAGGTTCTCATGCATGAATTCAGTGATCATGTGTGACCTGAATGTGCAGTCTTGTGTGAGCAAATGGGGCATCTTGAACCAATTGGATGCCCATGTGTGAGCTAATTGGGTGCTCAAGCATGAATTAATTGTGCCTCCATGCAGGGATTAATTGGATAATCAAGCATCAATTCGCAGGACACTCATGCAAGTACTAGCTAGATGCTCATGCATGATCTGCTTGGGTGGTCTGGCATAAATTAACTTGGCACTTGGGTGTGAATTAATCGTGCACCCACGTCTGAGTCATTGGGCACTTGAGGATGAACTGATTGGGCCCTCATGCATGAACAGATAGATCACTCAGGTGTGAATTGTTTGAGTGCCCATGCATAAACTGGATGAGCACACATGCATGTATTGATTGGGTGCTCATGCATGGGTTTATTGAACACTCAAGCAGGAACAAGCTGCGCATCCCAGTGTGACTTCATGGGACGCTCGTGCATGAATGCAGTGCCCCCTGCAATGTATGCCCTGAGAGGCATAATAATACATGTTTGGGCTGAGTATAATCCCTACATCCCACAGGGATGGGGCTTGAAGTTTGTGAAGAGTAGATGTAGTCAGACTGTGATAAGGTTGACCCCCATAATCTAGTCCACCAACTCAAGGGGTAGAGCTTGGAATAGCTTTTGAATGGAAATTCAGATTGTCATGATGATAACCCTTGTAGTTTGGCTCCCTGAGATGGTGCTATTATTTTACTAGAAATGCACTAGAATTTTACTAGAATGCACTTGGTTATTATATTAATCCCTTACAGTCTGGTCCACCAGCATAAAGGGTAGAGTTTGTGATGGATAAGGTATTCTGTCTGTGTAGAATGGCACTTAAGGACATGGTTTAGTGGTGGACTTGGTAGTGTTAGGTAAATGGTTGAACTCAATTATTTTAATAATCTTTTTCAACCTAAAAGTTTCTATAATATGATTTGTGGGGCAAGAAATACAATTTTAAAGAGCATTGCTACAATGCTAATCCCTACTCTGTTCTGCGGGGAGGAAGGATGAAGTTTATAATTGCTGTATATTAAGATTGTGAAAATGTTGAAAGTAGAGATAGTAATATCTGTGTGTTGAAACATCTCTTAAATATGTGTGTTGCAGAGGCAAGGGGTGGGAGGTATTAAGGTTAAACTGCAGGGTTTACTTTGTGCATGGGCTCCTGACAAGCTTATGCATGAGTGCCAGTTTAGTCCATGCATGGTATGGGTGCCTAATTAACTCATGCATGATCACCCTATTAGTTCACACCTGATCACACAATTGCTTCGTGCATGGGTGCCCAATTAGTGCAAAATTTATTGCTCAAATAGTTCACGCATGAGCGCCCAATTATTTCACGCTTGAGAGCCCAATCAAGTCACGCTTGAGAGTCCAATTAGATCTGGATGAGCACCCAATTTACTCATGCATGAATGCTCAATTAGTACATGCATGAGCACCCGATGAGTTTGCCCCCCAAGTGCACCATGAGTTCTCCCCAGTGCTGCACTGGCCACACCTGGTGGGGTTTGGCATCCAGGGGTTCCAGCATAGCCAGCAGAGGAGGTGGCCATGAAC